AGAGCGGTGCATGGATTTGTTTGTTGGCCAGTCCGCATTTAGTCTGCGTCATTTTATAGGTCAGGAGAACCAACAGAGGGTTGCTAGCTTTGTTAGAGAGGCGTTTAGGACTCGAGACTACATTCAGACCTTGTCTCATGAGCCACCCATGGCTCCTACGGGACTAAAAAATAAATTGATTGATTGATTGACCCTTAATAGGCTTGATTCATGTACCGTAGTTAATATCAGATCGAATTTCACTGTGCGGTCTCGGTTTACGACTCATACGAGAGGGAGTTCTTTTCAAGGGCGCTTGCATGCTGCAGCCTGCAGGCTGCAGTGCTTGATGGGCAAAGCCGGGGGGCCAAAGGGGCAGCGTCCGGTGTCCGCTACCAATTCTTGCTGCTGGTCATTTGGGTAGCCCTTGCACCAGCATCTGTAGGTGAGTATGGTAGATTTGTTGCAGGGCAAAAGCTGCGCTGAATATTCCTGGACTGGGTTGTTTCCGGATTGCTCCCTGTGAGAACCAAAGAGCGCTTGATGATGATAATTTTCAGGGCTTTAATAAATCCTGAGCTGTGAATGACTAATGCACTCATGTACCTTGTTTTTTGCTCGTTTGTTGGCCTAGTATGTTCTGTACAGTACAGCAAATGATGGATGTCGTAGATTAAACACATGTACCCATGATATTTGCGAGGAGGCCATTTCAAGAAGCAAGGTGCAACGAAAGAATGAGACACAGTGTTAGTTATAGATCTGCATATCTTTGTACAAAGTATTCTTTATCAAAAGGCACTCTTTCCTCTCCCTCCCAAAAAGATATTGCTTTAAATGCCATCTCTCATCCATCAATCATTGGCCTTGCAGGTAGCCTTTGTGAAATCTACCATGGCTGGATTTGCAACTTGTCTGGATACAAGGATGCTACTTCTGGTAATCTTGTGGGGGTTTAGTCTCACGTGCAAAGTGCAGCCTGCCACCATGGAGGATGTTGGCAATCTGGTCCATGGTCCCCTCTGGAATCAGACAGAGATTGATCTTTCCAACAGCAACCTTGTCGGCCCCATCCCCACAGCGCTTAGCAGACTGGTGAACCTGACCTACCTCAACCTTTCCAGCAACGCCTTCTCAGGCCAGATTCCTCCTAGTCTTAGTAACCTGACCAACCTCGCTTACCTGGACCTCTCCTTCAACAAATTGTCTGGCTCTATTCCCCTTGAGCTTGGCAACCTAGCCCATCTTAAGTGCTTAAATCTCTCTGTTAATGGCCTCTCTGGCCCCATTCCTATGCAGCTTGATAATCTCACCAACCTCATGTTTCTCTCCCTATTCCAGAACCAGTTGTCAGGCCCAATTCCTACAGCTTTAGGTAGTCCTGTCATTACGCACATCGATCTTTCCAACAATAGCCTTTTGGTCCCATCCCCTTGCAATTGGGCAACCTCACAAGTCTGACTTACCTTGACCTGTCTTTTAACAGGCTCTCGGGCCCCATCCCAAATGAGTTGGGTAAACTGTCTAGTCTTACTGACCTCTTTCTCAATAACAATTATCTTTCGGGCTCCATCCCCCTTGAGGTCGGCAATCTTGCCAAGCTTTCCATTCTCTCCCTCTCCTCGAACAGATTTGCTGGCCCCATTCCCCCAGAGCTTGGCAGCCTAACTAAGCTCACCATTCTCTCCCTTTACAATAACAACCTTTTCGGTCCACTCCCTCCAGAGCTCGGTAGCCTGACCAAACTTACGGGGCTCGACCTGAGCAACAACAATTTTTCCGGTCCCATACCCCCAGAGCTTGGCTCTCTGACCAAATTGGCCGTGCTCATCCTGCACAACAACGACCTCTCTGGCCCCATTCCCCAAGAGCTCGGCAACCTGACCGAGTTTATCTGGCTAGAGCTGAACAACAACAATGACCTCTCGGGCCCCATCCCTTTGGAGCTTGGCACTTTAAGCAAGCTTGAGGCCGTCGACCTCTCATCGACAAACACAACTTTCGATACCTTCAGCTTCTCGCACTGGAAGAACCTTTCGGTGCTGAGTCTTCCTGGCCCGCCCCCTCCCTCAATCCATGACACCAATACACTGTATTTGACTTTTGAGATCAACAATCAGACAACAAAAGGTCTAGACTTGTCACTAGTGCCGGACTCGTGCAAGTTTGTAAGCGTGAGGGGCCCGCTCACCTACCTTGAAAGCATTCGTTTTTGGGGAGGTTGCGAGAAGGGATGCATCGTTAACTTGGCAAGCACAAGGGCGAGATTATCTGGCAGCACGCGGCGGAAAGTGTGCTTAAGCAAGATTTCGGTTTTCCTCAATGGGGACATTCCTGACGGCGTCGTCGAATATGTTACCGATGGGGTGCCTCGAAATAGAAACCTTCTTAAGAACGAACAGGGGTTGATCTTCAACTTGACGGACCCGAATTTCGTGGACGAGATCGACCTGGGGCCCAATGGAAGAGCGTACACGGGGGTCGGGTTCTCGCGGGTCCAGGCGGGCAATCTGTGCGGCTACCCCGAGGCGAAGATGGTCGCTGCTTCCGTGTTCGGCTCGGCTGCCGTGCTTCTCGTTCTGGCGACCTTCGCCATCATCGTGGTGGCTCGGTGGCGCCGTCGGATCCGCGGAAACTCCTTGAGCGAGAGCCGCTATCACATGTGAGTCAATGCTCGTCCGTCATCCATGATGTGTGGTGCACGAGGGGCTCGTTTGATACACCACTACGTTATATTTGGATGCTTGTTGGTCACGGGGGTATTGATGTTGCACGAAGGGCTCCTGTGTTCTAGTGTATCCTAGTGTTGCGAGCAGAAAGTAGTTAGTCTGAGACGTTGACAATTAAGCAGTCACAAAAGAGTGCACTGTCTCTCTTGCAGTTTGAGGCAAGGTGGCGTCTATTTGTGGGGAGCCGCTCGGGCAGTCCTGCCGGTGGTGGACCTTGCCACAGACTTCCTGGTGTTGAGCGAGGTGTGGGGTGCGTGGCCGATGTGGGTGTTGTTGGCGTCCGTCGGCGCACCCTTCGCGTTCGGGGCTTACGTGCTGGCCAAGGCTTGGGCGTCGGCCAGGACACCCTTACTTAAGTGGAAGGGCATGCGGGTGCGTTGGTTGTGGCCGCTTCCGGAATTGGGCGAGGAGCGGCTCAAGTCCGAAGGCACGAATGCGCGGTACTCCTGGCTGCTCGCGATCGTCCTTCTGCCCTTGGGGCTGGTTGGCATCCTCGTCCAAGACCTGCTGTCCGTGGCGGAGCGGTTCGGGGTCCATCTGGCGTGGGGGGACGAGATCGTCGTTTTCGAGCGCTACCACGAGTCCCGGGTGATGGTCGAGCTGCTCCTGGAGTCCTTGCCACAAGCTGTATTTCAGACCGGACTCTACATCATAGGGAGCTCGAGGGCGACGCGCATCTACATCGACGAACGCATATTCGTGCAGTCTATCGTAGTCTCTCTGTGTAGCATGCCCATTCACTACTGCACTATGTTATGGGAGGCGGTCTACGAGGGAAAGACATTGATGAGGGTGTTTCTGGACCGTTTCGAGAGTGCGGGGCAGCCGATCATTGTGACGGTCACGCCGACCAAGGATGAAGAGGAGATGGGGAGACTGAGCTTGAATAGCCAATTGAAGGCACAACATACCTAGCCTGTAACATCTGGCTTGTACAAATAATCTAAATAGTGTGAGGGAAAATTGCTATCATGCATGGTTGGTCATCCTTTTAAACGATCGAGATGCACCTTGTAACTCTAGCATGTGTCTCTCCCTCTAGCGTGGCTTCTTCCGGTTAGCAATCTGCCGGTTCAAGTTGACACTGCGTGCATCATATTGCATATTTCAGGACATTTAGTCGAACAGACGAGTCAGTTTGAAGGCTGCAGCTAGATGGCCTAAATGTGTGCGGTCGACGGATTCAGCAAAATCCCGATCGCCCGAATGCAGGCCAGCCCAAGTCAGAGTTGGCGAGCAACGACAAGCTTCAGCTAGATTAATACGGAGACTAATGCATGCGTGACTGATCGAAAGAAGCTCCAGGCCCCTGCTGGCAATGACCACGGGAATCATTGCAACGTCAGAAGCTGCGAGATGAGAGTGAGATGTGGACGCAACAGATGAGCCCGGTATATAAGGGTTCCAGGAAGAGAAGGGAATTGAACGGAGGAAGATCATGGAAATAGCTCGGTCATACATTCAGAGGTTCTCGATGCATTTTAATCCGCTAGTCGTAATCTTGATAGTATAGATGTGTGCAGTGGGTGTGACAAAGTTTTGTGTATCATACTATACATCCTATACACAAATTGCCCCGACGCCGGATCTGGATTGCCAGTGTGTCGAGGAGAAACTTTTGCTCGCCTTCTGCTCAGACCGTACCGAATTAACATGATAAGTGCACACGTTTGTGACTCGTGCATCCGACTTCTTTATGCGCGTGATCTGAAAATGTTTGCGGCACACATTTGCTAGCGTATCAAGCATGGGCCTCGATCACGGTTCGACTGGACTTTCAGCTTCTTTGGGAGCAATTTGCGATTGGGAATTTCAGTGCTAAGCCGGGAAGCTGCTTTTTGGGTCATCACGCAGGCCCCGTTTCAAATTGCATAGGCCCCGTTTCAAGGGTCTGTCAACTGCAATGAGGGTTTTGAGCTCAAAACCCTAACTAGTACGTTGGGGGTGCCCTAACCGGGGAGGTCGCGGGCCATGCAAGATTCCTGAGCCTCTGACTACAACATCATTAGCTTTTCCAATTGCACACATGGTAGTATACATCCGGCTAGCTCACTGCCAGGCTTTTTGGGGTAGCTAGAAAGATCATGCATGTGAGTTTGGAGTCTTCTGAATCATGATCATTGATACGTTAACATACTGTATGCAGTGATTTACACTCCGTCAACATCATGCGCGGCATGCATTTGCATGCACTCAGCCGCCTGAGTCCTCTGTTGATAGAAGCTGGTACCTAGACAAAACTCATCTAAAGCCTGTCTGGTTCGGGCCAGCGAATCGACACCCTCTCTTATTTCGCCTTGAATTTTGCGTGGCCTAAATTCATGTTAGATGGCCACTATGCTGCGTGTTGCTATACTAAGGCTGGAACCACTGCCTGAGAGCTTTCGGAACTTGGCTGCAATCCTTGCATACAGAATGTACACACATGTCGTTGGAGAATTTCTGTGGGAGTCTGTGTAGACAAGAATCGTGTATACACACTCTTGTCTACACAGACTCCCACAGAAATTCTCCAACTTAGCAGCGTCCTTAACTTCAGACTTAACTTGAGATTATAGACCCTGGTGGCCTGGCTAGCCGTTTTAAGCTTGGTTCAACCACTCTCTGATTGATTTATTGCCAACCGTGCGTGGATGGACTTAGCCACTAGCTTCAATGTCTTGAGGGTGTCTCAGCCAACACTTTGCTTGCCCACTTGTACGCAGGTTCTAGCACAATCGTACGCTCTCGAAAACGAGGGAGGCTTTTGTGCCTTACTCGTTACTAAGTTATTGCAGCGTCTATTGATTAACAACTCGGATTGTCGGTCCAAACGCTAATTCTGTACAACACCAATGCAGCCTCCTCATAAAGCATATCGGCTACGCCACTTTCTTTGCTGTGGGGTCAACACCCGCCGTGTTGTCTGCATTTGCAAAAACTGCTTGTTTCGTCCTGAACTCCTTTTCCCGCAGTTTCTTGAGCTCCTGCCGGTTGCTATCCAGAACCCTGTCCACGTCCTTCTGCAGCAATTTGGAGCTTTCGCTCAGAAACGGCAAGAAAAACAGATTGTTCAAATCATCGCTTTTGTCGTGAACGATCAACGCTCAAGGCGAGACTTAAGCAAGACTCAAAGCGAGACTCAAAAGATCTAGTATTTTCTGCGGATCAAGTTTGCTTGTCTGCGATTGTTGTTTAGAGCAACAAGTAGCTCGCATGATACAACGGGTCAGAAAAATTTGCGCAGAGAGTAACTAAAGCCCTGAGTTCTTGCTGCACGAACCAGAACTGTCACCACAGATCAACAACCTGGGGCGGAGAAGTTCAAAGGTATTTATGAAACGACATCAGTGCCCCACTTAATGAAAGTTGACTCGGAAGTAAGAAAAGGGACATGCGTTTGAACAATGTAAGAACGAAACTATGCACCGAGAGACGCAGAGACGAGAGAATTACCTTGTGAAGCCGATAGATTTCCGCAAGGGGCTGAGTCGTGCCAGCTGCCGTCATGACCGGTTTAATGAACACTTTGGGCAGTAGCCAATGACAGATGCCCTGCATTAAATGCCCGGCAGACGATCAGACGGTCTGTAAACCATTCGTCAGAAGCCGACATTCTGCAGCTAAGAGCTAACGGTCGGAGTTGGCAGTCAGGACCTCCAACGATGGAGAGCAGCTTGTTCATCGGACACTTTTGCTAAAGTTCAAATTGCCAGGACAAAGCTTTTGGTCCGAGGCAGAAAGGTAAGTGGTCGCAAGGCTATCTGGGCATCGATGTCAAAACCCAAGCGCACCTCTCTGAACACGCGGATCGCGTGTCCGAGCGCCAAAGACACCTCATGGGCGCTTGACTCTCGGACAGATCAATAGTGAATGCTCGTCGTGGCTAAGCCTCATTTCAAACCTACATAGTTTCTTGCTTACTTCCCCCTCAGCGTTCAAAAACACACATTTCTGAACATGCGGTTCGCGTTTCGGGGCGCCGAAGACACCTTCACAGTGCCGGAGCCTCGGACAACTCCGGTCGATGCGTGCCCTTCGAATTCCAACCGTCATTATTCGACACAAGCCAATGCTAAGAGTGAGGCTCTCAGCGAAGCGTACGACACAAAAGAACAAACGAAACGAGCGTACCTGTCTGAAAATGCGGATCGGTTTTGCGAGCGCCAAAGACACCTTCATCGGCGCCTGACTCTCATAAAGATTCATCGACAGCGCACTTCGCTGCTACTCCCCTCCCCTAATCTTTCCATATGTTTTCCACCCTTTTCTCAGCTTTGAAACGCACCTGTCTGAACATGCGGATCGTATTCCCAAGCGCCAGAGACACTTTCATGGGCGCTTGACTCTCGGATAAGTGCAGTCAATGGATCCCTTCAAAAATCCAGCCGTCATCATTCATCAGATTCTAAACTCAACGGTCGGAGGCTGGCAGCGAAGCGTACAACACACAGAACAAACGAAACGAGCATACCTGTCTAAACATCCGGATCGCGTTTCCGAGGGCCAGAGACACCTTCATGGGCGCCTGACTCTCGGACAGGTCCACCAGCGCGTGGCCCTCAGGAACACGTAGCGCCGAGTACCGCTCCAGGACGCCCGGCAGCTCCGAGGCGTCGCTCTGCACGGAACGGAAGCGGAATCGTAAACGGAACGGTCAGCGATAAAGGTGACAATATGCTTGACTCTCGGACAGGTCCACAAGAGCGTGACCCTCAGGAACGCGTAGCGCTGAGTAATGTCCCAACATGGTGTCAATATCGGACAGTGTACGAAAGCGTGTCCTTCCAACGCGCAGGACACTTTCAGTGGCGCTCCAAGACGCCCGGCAGCTCCGCTCTGTGCGGAACGGAAACGAAAACGAAGCATCGTGAAGCTGATTGTGTTCTGAACTGGCATCTTGACACCGTTTTCATACTTTACCGAGGGAATCTGGAATTTTGGAGGGCCAGTCGGCATCAAGCGAAGATCAGAGCTGTGCCTTTATGCTCGAATGCTCCTTTAAGGCGGACCAGCGCTCAAGGAAGTAGATTTTCTTCAGCCAACGGGGGTGAGAGCAGCAAGAAGGACGCGCAGCCCTCGACTTTTTCTTCAACCTAAAAACTATCAAACGTCCCAGAACTGTCGAATCAATGGGCGCTTACCATGCCTAAAAGGAGCGACGCGAGCGCGGCCGCGTCGGCGAGGGAGGTGTTGCAGCCCTGCCCGATGGAGGGGCTCGTGGAGTGTGCGGCGTCGCCCATCAGAACAGCGCGGCCGTCCGCATCGTGATATTGGCTGCACTTAAGCTGCAAAAAAGCGTCCGAAGATCTCAGTCAGGTCCAAGAAAACGTCCGAATGCCGAGTGGGTGTCGGAATGTGCTTGAAGGGACCTCTTCTTCTTGTTGTAAATGCGCACACAGAAAATCCGACTTCTGTGAAGCGAAGCGTCGTCCATTAGGACAGCGCGACCGTCCGCACCGTGGTACTGGCTGCACTTAAGCTGCAACAAAGCGTTCGAATATCGCTGTGGCTGTCCAGACAAGCGTCCGAGACTTTTGACTTCTGTGGAACCTCGCCAGTTTCGAATCGTGCGACCGTTTGCGTTGCGTACTGGCCGCACTTGAGCTGCAAACGAGCGTCCCTTTCTGCGGTTTGATTATCCACTCTATCGAATCCTGTTCTCATAATCTAAAATCGAAGGAGGAATTCGCTTGCGTAAGTTGGCGCCCATCGAAACCATGGGATCGCCCGCATCATGGTACTGAATGCACGTGAGCAAGCGTCAGGAGATAGGGGATGTGGCTGCAGATGACATTCTTGTGAGATTGGCTGCCCAGATTTTGAAAGTGGGTATTGACTTGTGTGTGAAACGGCGCCCATCAGAACCATGCGGTCGTCTATGTGTGATACTTACTGGCACTTCGATCCTAAGAGCGTCCTAAAATCGACGTAACGAGTTTCAATTTGTCACAGCTGTGAATAGTTCAGTGCGTTTGGCTGCTCGGACTCTAATGAAAAGTCGCATCTTTGCACGGATTTGCAAGGATTTTAGGGTTGGGCGATTTAATTGCTGTCTCCTTCAGCTGCAGCTGGTGAGCAGCTCGTACCTATTCTCGAAGATCAAAATTATCGAGCCTCGTAACCAGAAGCCCCATTAGTGGTGATTCACATTCGGGTGTGATTCCCTGCATCTCAAATAGACGCCCCTAGCTCTCGGACTAATTGCTTCCGCCTTACCTGCATGCTCCGCGACGGCCGCTGCGTGACCAGCGATTCCGCCGCCTCCAGCGGAACCTGCAGCCACGGAAGGTGCCGCTCCAAAAACTCCTTCGCTTCTTGCCCTGTCTTGAGGGCCAGCCACGGTTCAGGGGGTTCCGCGATTTGCCAGCCCAAAACCAGGCACATCGTCGGGTCGCCTTCAAGCCTGGCAAGGGGTGAACGACGGTCCATTGCTGTTAACAGATAAGGACAGATACGGACAATCGGATACGGCTTTCGCGTTGAGGGGCTCATAGAACCCGCATGAGGCACGCGGTTTAATAACTCCCCTTCCGCCTAAAAAACACTCACGGCCGACCAGGTTAGCAGTATACGTGAGGAGAGTTAAGTCACCATGGTTGCATGTAGCTGACGCGATTTACATGGGGGAGTGATGCTGAGTGGCCCGCCCAGTGACGCCTTTGAAGCCTGGAAACTTCTAGAATTATAAAGGAAGTAATTGACTTTTAAGCCAAACAATAAATCTCCAAGCGAGCCTCGAGCAATACCGACAAGCTTCGACAATTTCCTTCAGGGCCTTGGGACCAAACGACGAAATCCGAGAGTTTTTTGCATGAGCAGCCCGCTTAGGCCGCCCAGGTAATCCCCTGGGCCGAAAATCTCAAGCCGCGCGACTTACGAGAGAGTGCTGGGCAAGAGCAGCCCGCCTAGGCCGCCCGGTTTGCTTCCCAGGATGATCATCCAGTTGTGCTCGGTGGCCGGAGGCACCGGGATGTTAGCCACCAGCCACTGGGAGCCCAGGTCGCGCTGCTCGTAGTCGAAACTGCAAAGCGAGGAGAAGAGGCTGAGTATTTCGACGAAAGTTACATAAAGAGACGCAACGCATTCGATTGTGCTCGGTGGCCGTAAGCACCGGGATGCTAGTCACTGGGAGCCCAGGTCTCGCTGCTTGTAGTCGAAACTGCGAAGCAAATAGAGGAATCGCTTTCTTTTCGAAGGAGACCATCCGCAGGCTGAGTACGTTCGAGGCTGAGTACGTTCGAGGAAGACTCTTTCAGATGACAAGTCTCAAGAGGCGTGGCAAAGATGTCAATCTCGTTCGGACCACTTGAAAGATTCACGAAAGGGGGAGGGCAGATAATGAGTTCATTGCTCTTGTTCCGCCCTGAAGAAAAGCAAACACGAAAGATATAGTCCTCAAGGTCTTCAACATAGTTGACGCCTCGTTAACTCGGCAGTGATAAGATGGGCTTCAACAATGCGCAAGAACACCGGCATTGGCACCAGTTTGCCATTAAGCTCAAGATAACCAAACTTGAAGTTACTATAACCGGGGCGCAAAACCCACCTCCTGAGATGCTGCATCATGCTGCCTCGCACCACCGACCGAACCCCATCTGCGCCGACCAGCAAGTCATACTCCTTGGTGTAAACAACCTCCCCGTGCCCATTCACACCGGCAGTCACGAAGCCCTTCACACCAGCCGTCTCAATCCCGGTAGCCGCGTTTATGCGGTCGATAGGGAGCAGCCCGCCGGTTTGGACGTCCGAAAAAGTGACAGTGCGGGCGTCCATATCGACTTGAGTGCAGCTCTGGTTGAAGCGGACTTCCAGCAGCTTGGTGTCGCCATACCTGGAGAAACGAAATTTTACTCCTAGGCCTGAAACCTATGTCAACAATACGTACGGATGGACCAGAATCCTTGCCGCTACTCTCTGCATCAAAGCTCATGTTCTTATCATGAATATGGCCACCTTAATTGCGTTATGCCGAGTTAAGGTGCCGGGTCAGCTGAACAACCAGCTCCGACTTTTGGTCAGGTGTCAAACAGGATTGGTTTCAAAACTGAGCTCAAACTGACAATATCTTCCTGGGTTCTTAGAGGTAAACTTTTGTGGGTTAGGGGAGACTGGACGACACGGATTATGATCAGCATAACCGAGTACGATACATACATGTCGTGTAATTTCCTGCCGTCGGACTGGGAAGCTGGAAGGTATCAAACTTTCAAATCATTAATCAAGGGTGGGAGCGCTCACAATTAGGTGAGTTTGTGGTTAACGAGGTCAATGGTTGAGGGGTTTGACCAATCACAGGACGAATAAACTGTGTCATCACGGGGCGCACTCGACATGATATCAATGGTGTCAAATCGTCTCGGATTTGGTATTACTCGTCCTTCTTTTGTCAGTTGGTACAACAACTGGCCAGAAAACCCGAGCAGACGGCAAGTCTGGAAAACCCACACGCAAGCCATGAACCTTACTTGGCCATGAGATGCTCTAGCATGGCCGCGCACAGCGCAGTGCGGTCGGTGATCACATTGCCGTCGTCTTTGGTCGGGTCGGCCCGCCCCGGTAGTTCGATCAGCCGCCCGAACAGCCAAATTTTGCCGAGCTTTGTTGGCACGCCGGCAGCCTGCAAAAACGAAGCACAACTATCAATGAAGCATTCAAGGTCTTACGGAGCTTCCCTGCGTCTCATCTATCCAAATGCAATGTTGAGAGGATAGCACAAGCCACCAACCGAAAAGCTTAGGCCTTCCTGAATCTTGCAAGAACAAGGAACGAGAGAAGACCATTTCTTGTGTTCTTGACAGAAAGTCAGAAGTGAAAAATGGACCTCACCTTCACTGCTGCCCACAACCCATCCACTTTGTCCAAGGCCGCCTTGCCGCGCTGGCTCAGACCAAGTGAGTATCTGCATGGAGAGCAAATGAATCGAAATCAGAAGGGGCATCAGGCAGAGACTAAGTCTCTTGACCTGACGCTTACACACTTTGATTCATCAACCACTGTGTCTCATGTCACACAATCCATTGGGGCTTTTTCTGCTCCTGAAATAGTATCTCCAGGAAACTTTTAGCAGAGGCTCGACTTACAAGGCCATGTCTGTTAAGCAAACCTGGCGGGTTTCCAAAAAATGAGGTCAAGCATTGACCGCGTGGTTTGACCGACCCCAACCTGTAGCCCAAACCCTCGAGAGACCGGCCGTATTTGCGATTGCCAATGAGGGATTCAACGGATGAATTGAAATAGAAACAGAGAAACGCTGACAGCGACCGGCGTCAGATCTCATCTTTGGAGCTGGATTGGGCAGCCGGAAAATCAAGCAAGGACCAGAAAGCCAACTCACAACATGCGACGGCATATGGAAGTCCGTGTCAACCGCACACCCAATGCTTGTCACAGGCTTATCTATGTTGGTGCCACCTCTCGCCCCTTGCGCATAGGGGGGCCTCAAGAAGCAAGAACTGCATTCTACACACAAGGAAGCCATTTGCAATGTCGTCCACGAATTATACCGCCTCTTTCGGAACAGATTCCCCACTCTGAGATGCCGACAGATCCATAGATTCCTCTCACCGCATTCTACATAGTCCGCAGCCTTTTGCAAAATTGCCCACAACTCACACCGCCTGTTTCAGCATTGAATTCCCCCGACATGAGATGCCGACGAACTCTCGCATTCCTCTCACCTTCTCGGAGTGGGGGGCCGCTTCATGGTCACCCGAGGGTCTTCTCGTGCCTCATGTATGGAAACCCTAAATCTTCCATTCCCCTTTTCTAGGAGGTAGTGCGCCAAGAGGAGCCCAGAGGGGCCCGCCCCGACTATGACCACTTTCATGGGCTCAGGCGGTGCGCCCCCGGCCTGGTCATCGGGAACTAGCGGCGGCATACTTTCTGCCCCTTCAGAAATGGTTGAGATCTAGAGCTGCAGGCAAAGGAGGAGAAACATGAGAAGTGAAGATTCAGACGAAACCCCCAGCTTCTTAGGACTTCTTACTGGCATGGGTTTGAGAGATAAATGTCGCACACGAGATGTTTCAGTTTTATGTTTTCGAGCGCCCCTTGTCTCGCAGAGTCATACCACTCTATGGACTCTGAATTTGTCTCCCGTCTTGAATGATACAGGTGAGCGAGAACAAAAACGACTTGTGTGCTGCGCAGCCAAGAGTGACCCAGGGATCAGACAATCAAAATTGCTCTTCAACCACCAAATGGTGCCATATCAACTCCTTCTATTGCTTGATGGACCCCTGCCTACAGCGCAGTAGGGAGTCTGCATTTTCACGAGCTTACCCGCCTCCTCTGAAAGGATTGCAACAGCTTCCCTGACCTTACTACGAAGAGAAACGACTCACCTCAAGCTGATGCCTCGTCAAAGCAAGTGTACGTTTCAGCAGCAGGAAACCCTACTGTGCTGGAGGTCGTTTAACTTTACGCCCTAATACCAATAGGCTCTGAATCTGAATGGGGAGTGCAGGCGCAATTCTTGCGAGCACAAAGATGCCAGCATGCAACATCTGGCATTGGCAATGTGTCTGCTGGAATTCTGAATGCATTATGCAGTCACGACAGTATGATGATCGTATAGACGTGGATCATCGATGGCCGTCGCTTCCGACCCCTAGTCGAGGCGGACGGTCTTGAAAGCACCAGATGACGCACGTGACTCATCCAAAGGTACCCCGGGCGGCCGGCCGGCGCCGGCCCGACCTCTAAACCTAGGCTCCGTACGGTCGCGCCTGCCAAACCCGGGGCCACCGCCAAACCGCGCGGTCCGGGGCGCCCGCGGCCGCGGGGCCGGCCACATGAAAGTGTCAGACATCATAAGTTTCCTGTACTGGACCCAAGTTTCTGTTGACAGATAAGCGTTGCTGAGGCGGACCTCGTAACCTAAAATTTTCCGAGAGGATTTTGTGAGCAGGTAAGTCGATGTCTGGCCGCCTTTTGAAGTTTCTCCGACACTTCTGATCTGACGTTCAGGTAGAATTTTAGGACTTCTTTTCCAACACCATGTTGACGAGTTCCTTCACGTTAGTGCTGCTGATTGGTAGAACCACAAAATCTGTCTGGAGACGATAGCCCGCTTAAACGCTTACACTGCCTTTGTACAGTACGTTGGCTTTGTTTGTTCAAGATGGAGACTTGAGTATGAGTAGGACAAGAGTCAGTGTTCCTGATCAGCTGATACGAAAGCACTTCTGAGGATCCTCCGAGCACCCACTCCAGACTGCAAACCATATTCAATGTGTTTGTTCGAAGTGCTGCAAAAAGAAGTGCAAAACTCGCTCATGGGATAACGTTTTAACATGCCGGAACTAGGTGCTGCAAAATTGGCTTGGGACGAAACATTGGACAGCCAGTATTCTGTACGATCGAAAGTGGCACTGAATTATCTGCTTGCAATTCCTTGCAGATGGCACCTCCCAGTAGAACCTGGTTTGGTTTGAGACGGAAAAGTCCATCAATACCAGACTCTGGTTTGCCCCTGTCTACGACCGCCCTACCTGGACCTGGCAGCTCGAAGTATGGAAAAACATGAGGACTTTCAAGAGTCGAAGAGCAAAGAGCAGAAGTTTGCCGGTCTCTGGTGGCTGTTTCGAACGTGCCAGACTCGACTTTGACGGTTCTTGAAGACGGTCGACCGCAAAAGCAGGCTGAGACCCGCTCAGATCAGGTCGCCAAACTTTGGGCAGAGATTGCCGAGCTGGGTCGGAAGCTGACGGACGAGAAGCAAGGGAAAGAGCGAATCTTTGAGGAGCTGACGCGCGCTGGCGCCGAACTGGACGACGCGCAGGATGAAGGCGCCAGTCTGCGCGCTCAACTAGCTGCTGAGATGCGGCGGGATGGGGAGAGGACGGAAAAGGAACTGGCGAGCGCGTGCGCGAGCTTGAACGAGGTGCAAGCAAAGAGTGGCGGTCTTCGAGCGCAGCTCGAGACGCTCGAGTCGAAGCTCGCCGCCAAGGAGAAGGAAAAGCTCGAGGCGGCTTCGAAAGTAGCGGAACTCGAGAGCGCGCTCGAGAGCTCGCGCGGCGCGGCCGCGGCGCTGGAGGCCGCAGCAGAGGCGGGCGCGCGGCGCGCGCGCGAGGGCGACAGGCTCCACTACGTGCTCGCGTGCAATGGCCAGACGGGCTCCATCGCACGGAGCGTCATGGCCTCCGATCCCGAGTCGCGTCTCTACAAGACGTTCAGCGGGGAGTGGAATTACGCGCGCGACGAATCGGGGCGCGCGGTTATCACGTGCCATCCGGACCGTTGGTCCGCTGTTCTGGAGCATCTGACGACGGGGGCGGTTCCGACGGACCGCGATACGCAGTTGCTAGAGCAGGCACGGTTCTGGAAGTTGCAAAGGCTGACGGCAGCGCTCGAAGCGCTGACGCCAGGAGCGGTGGTCTCAAACGCAGACTCTCAGGGGTTTACGGTGCGGGGTACGTTTGTGTCCGTCATGAGCGCCTATGAGCCGCGTCTCCCTTTCGTGACGCCCCGAGGTTGCGTAATGTATCTTCTAGTAATTGATTCTGGAATTTGGATGTACTGCCATCCAGACTCTGATGCAGGATCTGCAGACGTCCAGCTGTCATACAGGTGTCGCGTGCTTTTGCGTGACCACAGCATCGAAAAGGACTGGTCGACGGCCCCATGTATTGTCGGCAGGGATAAAATCAGGTCTTGGCATGAGGATGAGAGTCGTTGGGTTACGTATACGTTTGCGAGGTCCAAAAGCTGGGGCCATACCTGGAAAAAGTTGGGTTATACCCTGCATCAGATGGTCAGCGAGCCTTTGGCCTTAGCACACGACAGCCTCGTGGTCGAGTTTGAAGTTCGGTACATGGACGAGAAAAAGTGAGACCGTGGACTCTTTCTCTGCGGAAATTATGTGATACGATGATAAAAGGATTACGATTTGTTTCGTGCGCTTGACCAGAGGTTGGCTCGAGAAGGTGCGGCTCTAGATTTTCATTCTGACCACTTCGAGGTAACGGCAAGGAGCTGCACTTCTTGCTTTGCAGAAAGCTAGCTGTATAGTATCGGTTTCTGAAAGCTACATTGCATCTCTTGCTTTATTATTCAGCGTAAGAATTCAACAAGTCCTGGAGTCCTTGACCGCATTTTCATTATGGATCCTTGCAGCATCTGAATGTAGGGCTTCTATGTCTACAGCAAGCCCACGTGGAACCTGGTTCGATACAAATAATCGAGCGAAATGTTACCTCTATAAGCAGTCGACGAAGAAAACTGGTGCCCACCTTTCAAACGCACATAAAATTTGATTGTTAGTGCTCTTATACGTCTCGGATGATTATACAATTCAAGTTCGCTAGAACCCAATGGAGAAAAATGGTGCCCTTTCGAGCTTCACAGGCTTATATCTCGCATAATCAAATGCTTGCACTTTTTGTACACGTGTCATTAACACGGCATCCGTCTTAAAGAGCTCCGAAGAATTAGTGCATGATGAATGTATCTTCCAAAAGCTCACGGAAGCAGTCTAGCTATCCTATAACCACACGGATGTGCAGCGACGTCTTAGGCCCCGCCTTTATTGACGCGCTGCCTTTATGAAAAGAAGGAAAAGCTACGTGCACTAAGGACGCTTTTTCCGGGACGACTGTGCTTGCACAGACCGTGTCAGACCAGCGTCTGTCCGTCTTCTGCTAAACCCCTTAGTTGGATTCACGGTAATGATTGACCACTCAACGCATCAAGAAAAAGACGTTCTTTCGACACTCCTTACAGAACATGCCATTCGCTTATGTGATCAGACGCTGGAAGGAAGCAGATTGAGGGCGATTGCAGACTTTCGTTCTCGTTGAATTCTAAACGTGGTATTGCAGAAGACATTGTACCCGCCGTTAACGTGCCAAAATCTTTCTGCAGAATTGTTGTAAAAGTTTCTTAACTTAGGTTTTATGGCCAAACAAATCCTACACAGGCCGCACCTAGATCACTGATCACAGAGCGTCACGGACCTCTTTTTGTGTTGTCCAGTAATTGTCCAGTAATTGTAGAAACATAGCCGCAGGGGATAAGAGCAGACTCAGACTTTCGATTCTAAAGTGTATGTTTTAAATCGACCCCAAATTTCTCCCTGCATCTTTGCAGTACTTTTAGAACTACCACCTATCCCTACGGAAATGATTCGCTTCCAAAATCATTTCTACTCGTCCAGATACCGAACCTCAAATTCCACGACGAGGCTGTCGTGTGCTAAGGCCAAAGGCTCGCTAGCCATCTGATGAAGGGTATGACCCCAGTCTCTCCACGTATGGCCCCAGCCTTTCTCGCTCCCTTCCGCAGGCGGACGTTCCCAGCTCTCATATTTCTTAAACTTCTCGCACGTGGCCGTCGACCAGTCTTTTACGATGCTGTTGTCACGCACGAGCACACGACACCTGTACGACAGCTGCGCATCCGCGGGTATATCATCCGAATCTGGTTGGAAGTACACCCAAATACCGGACTCGTTGATGTGCAGCTTCATCACGTGACTCTGGGGCGTCACGAAGGGAAGGTTCTGCTTCGAGAAATTCATGACGGACACAAAGGTGCCCCGGACCGTGAACCCTTGCGAGTCTGCGTTTGAGACCACCACCCCTGGCGTGAGTGCCTCGAGCGCTGACGTCAGCCTTTGCAGATTCCAGAACCGCGCCTGCTCCAGCAACTGCGAGTCGCGCTGCTTCGGAACAGCTCCCGTCGTCAGATGCTCCAGAACAGCGGCCCAACGGTCAGGATGGCACGTGACAATTGCGCGCCCCGAGTCGTCGCGCGCGTAGTCCCATTCCCCGCAGAACGTCTTGTACAGAAGCGACTCGGGTTCGGAGGCCAGGATGCTCCGCGCGATGGACCCTGTCTGGCCGTTGCACGCGAGCACGTAGTGCAGCCTGTCGCCTTCGCGCGCGCGCCGCGCGCTTGCCTCTGCCGCGCCCTTGAGCGCCGCGGTCGCGTCGCGCGCGATCTCCAGCGCGCTCTCAAGTTCTGCTACTTTGGAAGCCGCCTCGAGCTTCTCCTTCTCCTCGGCGGCGAGCTTCGACTCGAGCGTCTCAACCTGCGCTCGAAGGCCGCCTCTCTCCGCTTTTAGCTCGGTCAAGCGCGCGCGCGCGCGCGCCAGCTCTTTCTCCGTCCTCTCCCCGTTCCGCCTCGCAGCAGCGAGCTCCGTCCGCAGACTGGTGGCCTCCGATTGCACCTCGCCCAGCTGCGCGCGCGCGCGCGCCAGCTCCTCAATGCTCCGCTCTATCTCCTGCATCTCGTCGTTCAGCTTCCGGCCCAGGGTTCCGATTTCAGCCCAAAGTTTGGTGACCCGATCTGAGCGGGTCTCCACCTGCTTGTGAAGCCGACCATCTCGAACTAACGGAGTAGCATCCACCTTCGAGACAGTCGTTAGGAATCGGTCGACATGTGCACTTTCCTCGCCTGCTGGTCCGGATAGGCCACTTGTTGAAGACTTGGCCGTAGGCGGGACCAGAGCAGAGGTTGACTTTGAAGGGTTGCCTTTCCTCAACCCAAACCAAGTTTTGCTGTGAGGTGCCATCTGCAAGGGGATGTAAACGAGTGCCCTGGTTAATGTCAGTTTATTCCATGTACATGGTCTTCTCACGTTGAAGGTGAACGCAATATTGCCACTATAAAACTCTGAAAAAGGTTTCTCGATAACCAGAAGTTTGCAGCCCATCAAGCGGCAGAGCTTTGAACAAAACCATTAAATTGGGTGTCCAGAACTATGATGGGAGCAGCAAAACTTTCTTGGATGCTTCTGAATGAACGGGAACGCGGAACTTTTCTCCATCCGATGGAGATCTATTTCATGAACCATTCTAATCAAAGCGTGCTCTTTTTCCAAAAGCAGCGTGCGTAAGCTCACTGCGTAAGCTAGAGAAGGCTCTCGTGATCAAGCCGATTCTGAAGGTTTTTGACATTGCCACATCTCTAGTCGGTTGATTCTTCAAAAAGGTGCCGCCAACCCTGCGTCTTTTCAATCAAAATATCAACTCCAGGCTCAAAAGGAGATTTCAAGCACAGTGTTCTGACATACCTTGCATTCCACGCGGTCAGGAGATTCGCTTCCGCTGAACGGGTCAAAAGCAGCGCTTGTTTACTTTCAAAGCCATTCGTCACACGTGAAACGAGAGCTGCGCGGTATCCCTCTAGGTTGGTGACTCAAAGGAGCCCGACAAAAGTAGAAATTCCCGATGAGGAGCAGGCTTTTGCCGGCCTCGCGAACCCCTGCCGCGGCCGGGGGCCAAAAGAGCCGTGCATGCGCCTCGGCGGCGCCGTGGAAAGCGAAAAGGCTGAGAGAGCATACGGCCAAATCCCGACCGTCGATGCCACATGGCTTGGAGTCGGTAAAGACGGACAAGATTGTTCCACATCGGCGCTGCTAGGGGTCAATCATTGTCACTGACGTCTAGCATCACATCAGGACAATGGAAGCGCGTGAGAGCCGGCCGCGCCGTCCGCAGAGCGCGGCCGCCTGTACGTCGGCCTGGGGCTTGTCCCCATGGCTACCACGGCGCTAATGACCACTGGAATTCCGTCGCCAGTAACGCCACCCTAGTGCGGGTGAAGCGCAGAGGTGCAATTGAGCTCCGGCTGTCTTCGAACCCGGCAAGGAGCACACCCATTGCATCCGATGGTTACAACAAGCCCAATTCAGAGCGGTCACCCAAGACCGTGCTTGAAGGACAATTTGTAGCCCTGAATAGTAGCGTAGATATGATTCCGCGCGCATCAGAGCAACAGACAAACCCCTGTAAAAGGCAGGCTCAGACAGCCATCGCGAACTGCCTTTTCGCGCCTTCCCGGTGGCGGTGAGGCGACCGGTGTTAAGAGCAAAAGTCTTTTACATATTGTGCAGGCGCCCATAAACCGCAGATACAGTCACCAACTGAGCCAAACAAATCATGTATCGCGCGCTACCTTATCCGCGTCCGTCAAAGAACAGGCACAGAAGCGCGCATGCAAAGAGGAACTTATGAGACAGATGAGAGGCCGTGCAAAACGCTGTTTGCAGTATGCCATGTAAGAAGCGGGTAGGCCGGATTAGACACGCTTCCTACGTCTCATTATTCAACTGCGACTGCTGCAGAAAAGCATGCAAGACTAATTTTATCCGATACCAAAAATCGCAGCGGTCATAAGAGGCAGCTTCGGCTGTGTGCACGAGTCAAACAAACTGGAAGATGCAAGCGCGTAGGCGACAGAAACCGTTGCAGCTCCAAATGTAGCTCCATCAAACGAGAACTTACGTTTTACTTTGATCCTCGTATGACTATTTATCTGATGCAGGAATGTTATGAAATGTATGAGCGGAGTAAAACATCTTAAAGAGCACATACGTCCGATCTGACAAAGAAGCCTCTCCTAAGGCACATGCCAATGCAGATTCCTCAATAATGAGTCAGATTCACAGAGGATGCGCGTCGAGCTCAAGTAAACAGACGCGGGCATAAGCTGAAGGAACCTTCCCTTTGATTTGTGTCGCGAAGTATGTCGCACAAACGGGGCACTTCTAAGTTCTTTCTCATCACAAAATCCTGCGCATCCTGAGAAACTGATATCACCGATCTTTTGTAATCTCTTGGACGTGGTTCCCCTTTCATACAAGTAACCAAATCCCCACTGCCTCAGGATCTCTTCTGAACTATTATCTCTGAGCTGTACTCCTGAAACCGGGCTCCCAAGGAGCGTGTGAACTCAAGGCTTTTGCATGTACATCCCCAAAAACTATGCTAAGACCCACGACCAGTACTCCGGTCAATATCATACTGAGAACGGTGTACAACTTAAAGAACGTTGGGTCCGAAGCTTTGCTAGATGCGTCTGATTCTTCCAACGAGATACGTTGGCCCCTATACGGGTCCGGAAGCCAGGTACAGCCGCCTTGAACGCCCACGTAAAAGCTGAAGCTCATGTAATATTCGCACAATTCCAGTTGTTCGCTCCCGTTTGTTGTTTCCATAAGGTATTGGTTCAACCCTTGAGAAGGGTCCGGAAGACTCACCGGTCCCAGGTTCTTCAGTTTGGGCCCTGTGGTCAGAAACTGATTGTCGCACTGTACGCGAAGAAACATTCTGGAACAGTCATGAGAATGAGAAAGTACGGTATCACCGTCTGGGACATTACGCTTATGCGATGCCAGAACGGTACTAGACTAAGGCTTTCGCTTGTAACCTGATCTTCCAGGTTTCCCGTAGAAACCTCTGCTCCCGGCCAAGTTTCTGAACCCGGAACGGCGAACCCAGATTTTATGGTTACCAAGTCGTTTGCAAAAGCTTTCAACGGCAACAGAGTCTTTGGCCAGCTGAGGTTGTTCCACGTAGTCTGAAGGAATCTCACGATTTCGATGCACGCGGCGATTGGGACTAGGACCGTCCAGCTCAAGATCCCTATAGCCAGCAAGGAGCCTCCTATGAGAAGACTGATGTAAGCCCAAGTGAACAAAGCCCAAAACGCTACCGCTGAGCCAATACGAGATGGACGCACGGCTGCTATTACGGGCGGCGGAGGGTAGTCCGAAGCGCAGTTGGTCTTGGGCGCTTCCACTTGGTAGAAATCCAGAAAGGGTGCCCGCTTCAGGGTGCCGGCACTTCACGACTTGGAGGAGGCGGGTATTTTTTGCTCCAAACACGGGGTTCGTTAGAGAGGACTTGTTGCGAAGGAATTCGTTTACCAAGTTAGGCTCTGGAAGCGACAGGCGCAGAAAAGTCTCGTCATTCGTTGCTTGAACAACTCGGCTGACCGAGAGGAGGCATGTTACAACAAAGCCAAGTGCCAGAATCCCCCTTCCTGCCATTTTTCCTGAGTCTCTGCCCTTCGCAGTCTTGCCGTGCACAAAGCGCGCCGGTTATTGACCACTTGCAGTTCTGAACAAAAGAGCCTCCTCTCACAGCAAAGCGCACAAGCCTTGAGTCTGAGGCGGTCTCCTTTCACTTGATCTGGAGCCGCTGAAGGCAGCCGCGTGGCGCGACGCCATTTGTAAGCGCGCCCCGGCTTTGGTCGCGGCCGCGCGCCGAGAACGCTGAGCTGAGCGGCTCCGAATCTAGGCGGGCGCAGCGCGCGCATCGCAGGCCGACGACTACTGAAGCAGTGCGCGCGCCCGAGCACGCAAAAACGTGGCAATTGGTTTGTTTTCAGTGTAGCAATTCAAAGGTTTCGGATCCAAGTCGACAGAGGGCTGTTCAACGGTTGTGCGATTTCGCCACCACACAATCTGTTTGAAAGCATCGTATAACGGAGATTAAAAGATCAAGAGAGGGTTCGGTAAACCTGTTACAATCCATAAGTTTCTTGAACCCTAGACGAGCGGGGTGGATATACTCGAGCCCATGAGCGCCGACAAAGTAAAAACAGCTTGTCAGCAAGGGAAGAAGCTCGTTTCCATTTAAGCAGCGTAGAGGACTTGCATTTAAGCAGCGTAGAGGACGAACATGTCTAAACAAGATAAAGACCTATGATTCTATTTGCATACCGCACAAAAGTACTATTCGAGAGCAAGTACCACGGAAGTGATACAGCCTCTTGAAGGCAAGCGTCAAAGAAGAAACTGATACATAAGGACGTTCTTCAGAGCATTGGAATTTATAAGTCTGCATCAATTCACTTTCGGAGACAGTGTTTGGGACGAAGCGGTCGATCTGGAGACGATGTCGAGGTACCTTTCTCGCTGTCTAAAAAGACCGTTCCATCCTATCTCTGACTTAACGGAGCGTTATTACATCATCATGAAAAAAAGATTACAAAGTACCGTAAGGCCTAGCTACATACCCACTTCCTGAGATCCTGAATTGTTTTGAGAGAGGTCACGTCGCTATCTACACAGCTACTGATAGATCAGCTTCCGAACCGCTCAGTTTGCCTGCGCAAGCCAGCAAAACAAGCATCACGAGCATTAGCCCGGTCATTGCCATGCTAGCCAAAGTGTAGCCCACGCTATTTGACTCCGTCGGATCTTTAGTAGACACCTGTAGCTCCTTCAAAGCGACCCGTTGCCAGCTGTACGGATCCGGACGCCAAGCACAGCCGCCAGGAACACCCACGTAAAAGTTATAGCTCATCCTTTCGCAGAGCTCCAGTTGGATGCCTGCGGTCTTTTCTTCCAGGTATTGATTCAGCCCGTGAGAGGGGTCGGGAAGAGGCACCGGTCCCAAGTCTTCGACTTTGGTCGCTTTGGTCAGAAGGTCTTTCGCCGCACGGTAAGCTACGAAAGGTGCCAGGAAGAGAATAACGAGGAACAAGTATGGCGCCACCGGATAGAGGATCTTTTGTACGCGTTCGGCCAACCATACTCGAAAATCTACTCCGTTTATGGTCACGCTCTGATCGTGTTCTTCTCGAGACCCAGTAGCGGATTTTGCGGACCCAGTCTCTATATTTGTCAGTTTTTGGGTGCTTGATTCCACGGGCACCCTAGCTTTTGGCCAGAGCTTGAATTTAATCCACTCAAGAAGAAGTTGGAGAATACAATAGATGAACAACCCCGCGATAAGAGAGACGTACACCGTCAAAACAAGGAAGTATCCAACCAAGGCAGAGCCTCCTATGACGAGACTTATGTAAGCTAAGGTGAACAAAGCCCAAAAGACTATCCCCGAGGCGGCCATACGAGATGGGTGCGCGACTGTTATCACGGGAGGGGGGTACTCCGAGTCGCAGCTGCTGTTGGGTGCTTGCACTTGGTAGAACTCAAAAAAGGGCTCCCACTTTCGTTGGCACTTTACGACCTGGACAGGCCGGCTGTCGTTACCGCCAAACAGGGGGTTTCACTGAGAAGAGCTTTCCCGGAGGAAGGCGTTTACCAAGTCCGGTTCTGGAAGCGACAGGCACAGACAAGCTCTCCCAGTGCAAGAAGCCGATGCTTGAACAAAGCGGTCCGCCGACAGCAGAAGGCATGCCAGGACCAAGGCAAACGCTGAACTCCATTTTGCCGCCATCTTTTAGCCTTCACTCTCAGCAATCCGGCAATAGGTTGTGCTCCCAGTTGCTAGTCCCGAAAATGTTCACTGAATGCGCCACTCGTTTTACAGCAAAAGCGCGCAAACCTTGACGTTGAGAAGTAGAAGCGAAGCCCGAGGGGTCACGTTTGTTCAGGGGTAGCCGTGCGGCCCGGCCGCGGCGCGCAAGCCGCACGGGAAGATTGCCGGCGGCCGCACGCCGCGAATGTTCAGAGCGATCGTGACCGATGCGAATGCTCAGCGCTGAACGCGCGCGGCGCGCCGCAGCCAACGCATATCAGGCGGCCGCGCGCTCGGGCACTCGGAATCACGCGGGGATCAACCGAGATGCGTGCAACTCGTGCAAGGTGGGCGCCGCGCACGGCCACTCTTCGTGCGGCCACTGAGAGCACTCCCGGCACCAACCGACCGCGCGCGCACACGACCTGCGCCGCTGCCGAGCCGCGCCCCGCCGCAATAGCGGTCCAGTTTGACCGCCCGACCAACGACTCTCCCGCAGTCCGGAACGTGCTTTCAGATCGCGCCATTTCCACTTCGAGACACCGCTTGGCTTGAGAGGTTTGATGAACTTGAGCGTGACTTCTATAAGTCGGTACCCCTTCTCATCATCGCCAAACTTAAGCTTTCAGTAAGGCAGCGCGCACGCAGAGCCCACGTCCCAGTCGCCAAGCGACTGCGCTGGTGGGCCCCGGCGCCGCTATGTCGCCCATGCATGGCAAATTCGGCCCAGTCCGACCGCCCGAACAAAAGCGTTCCACAGCCTGAATGGCACCTCAGGTGCAGTTTAGAATACAAGTGGTACACGGCTTGGCTTCAGAAGGTCTTGAAGGTACCCAGCAATGAAGGTTTCTAGTCAGCACCACTACTAATTGATCTTTGCCACTGCCCTAACATAACCAAGCTGCTTCGTCTCGGAAAGGCCGTTACATGGTACGCCTTGCCACTCGGGAGACTTGGGAGAAAGCTGCTGCTCGACAGTCAGAATGTTCATCTGACCGTAGGACGCCTCGAGCGCTGTTACGGCAGTGCTTCTGAGTTTAGCGTCAGTTCCGACTACGCTGACGAATCTGCAGAAACGTTTCGAAAGATGATGCCTATGATTTTGGTGGTCGCTTTGGCCAGACCTGCCCATCCCAAAGTTCTAAACAGGCGACAAATTCGCATATTGCTTCTAAAACAAGATCTCAAACGCTGATCACCATAAATGATAGCCCGGTTTAAGATCTTTGTGAGGCCACTTCGATCCTCAACCTATCCAGCTTTTCAGGCCATTTTGGTCTTAACGTTGTGCCAGACCATTTTGATCTTAAAAGCTGAATTTCTGAGATCAAAACGGCCTCAGCAAACGATCTTAATCCGGGTATGATTTATAGTGCGATCCACGAGTCCAGGAGAGGAGTTGGCCCAACCAGATATATAAAGCACGGCAACGTGCAGGAGAACTAGTCGCAATATAATGATCTAAGCTGCGCTCACGTGAGCTGCTCGCACTGCCAAGCAACCATTAGCTTTGATACGACCGCGGCCACGAACGAGTCCACGGTGTTAGAGACTTCTCACAAACGGGTCGACCTTCCTTAGCTTCGCGCGTTAAAGCTTCGACCGCGGAAAACAGTACGCAGCAGATTTCCTTGCTGCTACATGAAACCTGCACAGTCGCGGCCTCCTTATGAGTAGCAAAGTTGAGTCGTGTTGTGTCTTTCATACGAGGCGGAGCATGTTTCAAGGGCGTTTCGGAGGTTATACATCACAAAGTATGGTTGCATGTACTTCAAACACTTTAGCGTCTGAAATTTCGACTGATACTCTTCATGCGATTGACACGCTTCATCCGGTTCATACACATATTATGACTACGACGAAGGTCATTGAGAAGACCCCGAGTCGCTGTCTTTGATATTAGTAAGACCGGCAGCCTTCTTGATTACATTCGTGTGTGGCCTATCTCGCAAGCGACAAGCATGCTAAACATGCAAATACATGGGCGATATATGCAATAGCATCTTGAGATTTTGCGACATCAAAGCAGGCAGATGAGCAACTTTCAAATTTGATGCAAAAACCCTGTGAGCGCAAGGAACACAAAGCAAGACAACGGACTTCCGAAACGATTTTCAGTGACTCACTTTCTTGAAGGGTTCTCCATGCTGAATTATGATCGAGTTCTACAAAACTTTGCAACAAGCTCATTATCGAAGAGGTTTGCGACCAAAGCGGTCAGGCCGGCCTATGTCAAGCGTACCTTTCTCACGGGACTCTGTTATCTGTTTCTGGAAGACCGGGACACTTCTCTCTTTCTCTGGTTCCTACAGTAATCCGCATAAGACAACAACCAGATCCTGGTATCCGGGTTGTCTTATTGTGAGCTCTACTTGTCGCCTTGAGGCTGGCTGGCCGTTCACTCTGATATACCAGGCGTCTCCGTAACCAACAAGCCGCTATGGCAAAGAACACAACCATGAATCCTGTCAGTACCATGCTGAGAACGGTGGAAACCATAGCGAGTGACTCAAAGTGTCTGTTAGCCACGTACAGCTCAAGTTCCTCCAAGGGAACACGTCGGCCTCCGTAAGGATCCGGCAGCCAGGCACAGCCACCAGAGACGCCCACGTAAAAGTTGAAGTCCACTGATTGGCACAGCTCCAACCGGGCAGTCGCGTTTGCAGCTTCCAGGTACTGATTCAGCCCGTGAGCGGGGTTGGGAAGGGTTACCGGTCCCGAGTTTTCAACCTTGGGCCAGACCGTTAGCAGTTCTTTGGTTGCACTGTAAGCTATGAACGGTGCCAGGAAAACCATAAGGAGGAACACGGATACTATGACCAGCTCCCAGATCGCTTTCACACGATCCGAAAACTTTAAATCTCTGCTGACCCTTACACCGTTTGCCTGTTCCTCCAGAGCCCCTAAAGAAAAAGCTGACCTCAAATTGGCAAAGACAGGTGTCTCAGGATCCAAGGAAGCCATATCGTCTGTACTTGGATTCTTGCGCACCCTACTCTTTGCGCCAAATCTGCTCCATTCACTTCTGAGGTATGAAACGAAGTGAAGGCACGCGGCAAGAGGGACAATCACCGTCAGAGTGAGTATTTGCGTGACCAAGATGGAGCCTCCTGTTACGAGACTAAAGTAAGACCAAGTGAACAAAGCCCAAAACCCTATGCTCGAACCCGCCAGATGAGTTGAGCCCACAAGCGTCAGTAGGGGAGGGGGAGGGTACTCCAAATCGCAGCTGCTGTTGGGCGCTTGTACTTGGTAGAACTCCAGAAAGAGTTCCCACTTTCGCTGGCACTTCACGACCTGGAGGGGGTGGGTGTTGTTACTTCCAAACAGGGGGTTTGTAAGAGAGGAGTTGCTGCGCAGGAAGGCGTTCACCAAGTCTGGCTCCGGAAGTGACAGGCACTGGCGCAGACAAGCTCCTCCAGGGGGGCAAGCCAACGCTTGAACAAAGCAGACGACGCAGGCTAGGACCAGCCAGAAGGTTAGCACCCTGTTTCCAGCCATCTTTCACGCCTCCACTTTTTGCAATCTAGAGAGGAGAGGAGGGCAGCAGCCGAACACTCGCTTGCTGCTCACAGAGCCTGACAAAAGCTCCACCTCTTACAAGTGAAAGGACAAGCGCGCAAGCCTTGACGTTGACTCAACGGTTGAGTGCCACTTTGTTTTGTTCATTTGATCGAGGCGCCGTCGCTAGGGGCGGCCGCGCCGGGCGGGGCCTCGACGGGCTCCGGGTTTGGACGGTCACTGCCGTGCGCGACGCGTTTGAAGCGCGCGCGTGCATTGAATGTTACCCAGTTGGCGCGACCTTGCATTCCCACCCAACCCAGCCGGGCACGTCTACCGGGCGCCCCGAAACCAACACCGTCTAGCATAGGCTATGAGCCAAAAGGGGCCCGGCGGGCTCACGCCATTCCGTTACCAAGCACTCAACAGACCATTCCCATCAGAAGGTTAACTTTGACATGATCCCCAGCATATGGAAGCTCTTCAAGAACGGGCACAACTGAGCGGCTCTGGCTAAAGAAAAAGGGGACGCCTGTTTAGAGGAGTGCTTGCTAAGTTCTTCATGAGTGCGCACTGATAGGAGTGCATATCCAGCGAAGGTGCAAAGGTATCAGAAGTTGTGCATGCGGATGTTCTCAGATGACGGACTAGTCTTGGGTACAAAAGCTGGTCATCCAATCGTGTCGTGATGGCAAGAGGCCGGCCTCATGGCCGGTCCAAGTCCGATCACAGAGTCTGCCAGGAGGCTCGTCATGCACGCGCTGCTGAGTACAGGGAGAGGATCGCCATCAGTGCTGAGCAGCAGGAGGCACGCATCGCTGCTGTGAATGCTAAGTGCAACGTGGAGGATGCCCCTCGTAGGCAGCGGGGGCAGAAGTCGAGGGAGTCAAAGACCAAGGCAGGGGCGGCTCGGATGTCCACAGGGGGCCGTGCTTGCAAAGCGTCTGGCAGTGGAAAGAAGAGAGCAAAGAAGGGCCTCGAACATGTGCTTGGCAGAGCTGCAGAAAGAGGTGAGTTCTTGTGCATGGCTGCTGGTTTGATTGGTTTGCCTTCTGAGGCCGAGGCCAAGCAGAAGCTAGGACGCTTTGCGCGAAAGGTGAATGGTGGGCTGGCTCTGTGATGTATACCAAGAAGAGCGTTTGTTTTTTAGTAGACTGATGGGCATTTTTTGGTACAATGCAGTCAGTCGTAACCTTGTTCCGACAGTCACATGGATGGCTGGCCTTGCATTGTTGTACCAAGAACAGTGCGCTTCTGTGTAGACATTGAAGGGAATGAACTGATACACATAAGTATTGGTAGTACCGCTAGAAATGAAGGGTGCGGTTGGCTCTGCAGCTCTGTACCAAAAAAAGCGTGGTCTTAGTTTGGGAAGATTGCCCCGAGGCCTCCATTGTACCAGGAACAGTTTGCCTCCATTCACGAGCATAGTGACTGCTGGCTCTGCAAGAACGTACCAAGCTTTGCCCTTTTCTCATCAGAATATAAGATGCTGATCTTGGTACATGCTGTCAAATCACAAAGTCCTAAACAATCATAGCGGGCATGGTTTCCCTGGAGTGTACCACAAACAGCCTCTTCCTCTTAGAGAAAGAAAGGCAGATTCTTGGTACATACTGGCAATGACAAACCTTCAACCCCACTGCCAGAAGAAAGAGACTTGACTGCAAAAGGCAGCGGTGACGCGGCACGCACCAAGTTTTGCATGCATCTCTAATCTTAGACTCCAGGTTCATTACCCAACCCTCGGCGCTTCTTCATTGCAGACTTGCACAGTCTCTACTGCCACGCGTGCGGCGCCCTTGCAGAGTTTGGGCTGAGGGGAGGCAAGGAGGGGGGCAGCGTCAAGTACACGTGCAGAGCGCACGCCACGCCGAATGGGTGCTTTCGGATCGACCGAGTTCGTGCAGGTGAGAGCATCTGGGGAGCCTGCTGTTGACATGGTCTGAGATTCATGCAATGTTCGTAGCTGCTCCCCTCGGGTCAGCAACGTTTCTTTGAAGTAGAATGTTGATATTGACGTGCTCTAGACTCTCCTGCAGATTGGGCAGAGGGCCAAGAGTTGCGCCGCTTGAGAGCAGAGGAGAGAAGATTGGAACAGGAGCTGCGAAAGCTGGGAGGGAGCTCGTCCAATGCAAAACCAACATCTGGTGAGCGTGCGGTGCTGGTTTAGACATCTGACTGGTTTGGTTCTGCTCTTGTACACAATCTCAGAGCAGCAGGTTCCCTGTCATGCCTCCGATGCGTTGTTGCTCCTTCTGTGTGCATTCCACACGTGACTCAACAGTGACGGCAACTCAACGCTTCACTTTTCGTTTCTGCAGCTGCAGTCGGGGATGAGTTTCAAAGTTCGGGGGTTTGGGCTTCGATGCCCATGAGCCGGTCGCTGATAGGTAAGGCATCTTCAATGCAGCTAAGGCAATGTAGTTGCTTCTAGAGCATCTCAGACCTGTCCTCTACGACGATCCTCTTGTTTTGCCCAGGGATCCTCCAATCCTTTCTTGTTGAGTCAAGCTGCATCCAGTATCTGGCTTGACAATGGGTTTCTCCTCACCTGCAGCCACGCTCTTGATGATCGGTGGCATCGAGCGTAATCCTGGACCTGCCGCAGACAAGGGGAGCCCGTACAAGGGAGATCTTGCACTTCCAGGCAGGACCAGCACAGGCTGCAACGAAGCGCCAGGAACTGTTGTTGAATCTGATTGGCCCCTTAACCTGCTGCCCTCTCTCGACGTGAGCGTGAGTCTAGAAGTCTTTTTCTTCATGCAGTTCAGTTCTATGTCGCACCCAAGCCCTGGACTGAATCGTAGATTGTGTAAGCACGGAATATCTGCTGGCCGAGATGCCTGTGAACACTCGATGGTCTTAGTTTCATCGGGCTAAGGCGCGCAGGTAGCGAGAGCCGCTGGCGAGCATCACAGCTTAACAATCAGCAACCCTTACATCATGCTGCGCAGGAGGCTCATGGCAGTGGGCATTTCACCATCTCTCGTTTTGAAGGCTATCAATGGTTTCCTTGCAGGCGCTCAACCCAAGACACATGACTTCCGAGAACGGAAGAGTAACTCATGCAGGCAGGGGGCTGGACCTGTTGGCAGGGATTCCGGAACGAGGGGATAGCGAAGGCCAGACTCGTCAGCTACACCTGCGGCTACGAGGAGGAGCAGACGACGAGCCTATGCCCGAGGTACTTTGCCTCTCTCACAGACACTGCAGAGACAGGGGAGAAGAGCACTTGCAAGTTCAACGGTGTCCATCTGTTGTGACCACCTTGTACTTGCTGGAATGTAGTGTGTACTTAAGAAAACACAGGTCAGACTGTGACCCTCTGCATCAAGGGTTTCTTAGGAGACACTTTCTTATTGTCCATTGCAGCACCTTGTGCCTCACACGCCCCTTGTAACCTTGCTCACAGCAACAGCTCTCCTCTGCAGGCCCACAGCGACAAGCCTGCCCTCATTCGAATCCAGCTGAGAGGTACCAACGAAAGATGCTCTTTTGAACCACCTCGCCCTCGAGAAGCAGTTCTGGAGCACCTAAGAGATGAGGAACGCTGGGGAGAAGGAAAGATCACAAAGGTGGTGGATGGGGAGGAGACTGCTTGTATGAAGGGGGATGTGCTTCAAGCCGGCGAATATATCTTCACAGCATTCGAAGGTGAGCCACCACCAGTCTTGATTCCCAGGGGCGGAAAGAAGGAGAAATACATCCCTTACTAAGTCAGTGACGTCTCATTTGTGGTGCCCACTTTTGGCGCCTTGTAAGCACAACCTCTGCTTAGCATCTTCTAATTGCCAATCAACAGCAAGTCAGCTGGCGCTTATAAGAGCACTAACAAGGGGGAAGACCTGCTGCGGCACTAGGACTTCGTTCACTTTGGGGTTTCCTTTTGGGCATAGTAAAGCTGTGACCTCGCGCAGAGACTTGCTGCAAAATCAAGGAACTGCTCACGCACCCTTATGCAGTCTTTAATTTACTAGGGTCTCCTTAGTTGATAGATAAGCCCTATCGAGTGTGATTCAGAAGTATGTTTGACTTAGGCAAACCTGAGCAGCCAGAATGCAGGTTCAAAGAAGAGGCATGTCAATGTTTCACGTGTTTCACGACTTCTGCAGTCCAAGGAGCATCCAGTGCTGGACCTTCAGCCGCACAGGCGTCGAGGCTGGAGCCAACAGAAGGGGCCAAAGGTACTAGCCACTCGGATATTGTCTGCCGAAATCGTTGTGGACCATAATTGCTTATCTGCTGAGAGGGGCTGTGATTGGGCATCGTAGGATTTTCCAACTGTTAACGTCTGCGAGCTTGACATCAAGGCAATTACTTAGTGGGCTGAAAAAGCTGAAGCTTTTTTGGAGGAGTGTCACTTGGTTGGGATACGAATGGGCTGACATAGGGGACGCCTTTGTTTGAAAGCGCGCTTCTGCAGAAGTCACGATTTGCCTATCCTGCTAGGGTCTTCTTCACAACCCCTTGCTCGCGTCAGCATCGAAGGCCCCTTCATTCCAGAGCAGAGCTGGTTAGGGTGGCTCATTCGTATCCGCTTTAATGACCATACCTTATCTTTTTCTGGTTCAGGGGATCTCGGCCCTTCACCAATCAAAAACTGGAAGGAGCGGGAGAAAGTGGTGGGAGACAAGATAGTAGAAGCCCACGAAGCGCTGGCGCATTGCATGGTTAACGAACCCGATTCCTTCAGAAGTCCGGTGACAAACGAGCACACAGAGCGCATTGGAGGCCTTAACATTGTGGCTGCCCCGCCGGACACCCCCCTGCTCCTTCTCACAAACCTGCCCTCAGGAAACCAAGGAGGAGTCGCCACAGATGATGAGGTGCTAAAGTGGTTTCACAAAGCCGACAATGAGCCGATTATTCCTCCCCCTACGGCTGTCCTGCTTGGGCCCCCAGGAATTGGCAAGACCCGGAAGTGCATGCAGCTGGGGTCAACTGAGCCTGGCGTCATTTACCTGACCTGTGAACGGAGTGGGGAGTTGAGGGCCCCTGACATGGAAGCTGTTCGCGCGAAGCTGGAGCAATGCGAGGCAGACCCGCAGTCTTGGAAGGCCAACTTTGTGCGTGCCAAGCGACACCTATTGGCGTGCCTGTATGCCCGGGTTTCCCTTCTCAAGTATTTCCTGGACAATCAGGCACAGCAGGCTTGGGACTTAAGGCACTGGATGCTCTTCCAGTCGGGAGTAGCGTTTGGCGCCTCAATGGTGAGCACAACAACCCAGCTTATAAGTGCTTCTCGGAAGATTGGCTGCGGAGGGCATCAGTTTTCAAGGCAACTGATAGGATTGTCAAACTGGTCCGTCCCAAGTGTGGACGCATCTACCTCCAAAGTCTGGCTGTACCTGCGTCTGTCGCTGTTCTGTCCAGAGAGGCAAGGAAAGTTGCTGCCAAGCCTCTCATCTCGTGTGTGGATGTCCACTCCAATTTGAGTGCCTTTGTTAGATTGCGCAGCAAAAAGCAAGCACGCTGCACATGTCTTCATGGCTGTGGAGCAGGAAGCAACTGCTCACATGCCCTTTGTTTCCGTGCCAGGCGCCCATGTTGGAACTCTACCGCTCTGCTAGCCTGGTGCATGTGGATGAGCTAGAGGAGCAGCTGGCAGCCTTGCTGGGAGAGTGCACCAAACTTCTTGGGGGCAATCGGCGGGTGTGCATTGCCTTGGACGAGGCGCAGTCCTGGTCGTCTGCACTAAACCATTGCTTCTCCAATGGTAACGAGCCCCCTCAGGGTCGGCCGCTCCTGACTGCTGCCATGCGCATCCTGTCAGACCCGCCACTTTCCCAGCACCTGAAGATCCTACTTGCGGGCACAGGCTTCTCGCTCCTGAGCACAAACATCATTGATTCCGCACTCGCGAAGCATGGCACGTTCAAAGCCCGGCAGTTGTCGCTTTTCAAAACCCTTTCAGAAGATGAGGTGCGACAATACGCGGCGCACTTTGCGGGCAAAGAAGAGGCAGATGGTGCGGTAGAACAGATCAGAAAGCTGGTAGGGCGAGCGCGCTTCGTTGTGGGGGCTGTTCAGCGTTGGGTGGGGGAGGGGGGGGAACGATCATTGAGGGATGTGCTTGAAGAAGAGTATGACCTGCACACGGACCCAGACGCGTGGCACCGCTCTACCCTGGTGCGAGCCCGGTACGAGAAGCTGTACCTCTACGGTACCTTGTGGGCGCAGGCTCAGCACCCTCAGTCGGCCAAGCTGTTTCAGCAGTTGAAGAAATTGACATTTGCGCATTGGGTGATTGGCCAGCCGGCATGCTTCCGGAACAAGGAGGAAGTAGACATTGTGAACCTTGGCTGCGCCCTTCTTGAAGGGGAACGGGATACTCAGATGGCGGCCATCAGGGAGCCCGTCGTTCAGACTGCAGTCCAAAATTTCCTAAAGCACGAGATGCAGTGGGATCCACAGACGCACGCCGAAGAGATGTTCTGTGAGAGCGGCTTCCAGCCCCAAGTGCTCGGGAACTGGTGGGAGCTGGTTGTGGCGCAGTTCATCCGTCACATGTTCGAGACGGAGGAGGCGCTTGCCGACAAGCCGCTCTTTAGCAACCTAGGCCGTGACACGTTACCCCCTGCATTCAGGGAGATGGGAGCCAGTCTGGTGGCGGTTTGGCGTGATGAAACCTCTGGGCAGTTCCGCTGGGAGGAAATCAAAAAGGAAGAGCGGTTTTTGAGAATGAAGGTTGGAACCACCGCTTACAGGCTGGTTGACTTCCTGAAGGACCCTCAAGGATTTGTCCTCTTCTTCCCTGAAGACAAGGCGGGCCCCGATCTCGTCTTTTTCATGGTCGTGGGCGGCAAGCTCTTCCTCGTGTTCGTACAGCTCAAACTTGCGGTAGCGGTGAAAGAGCCCTTGAAGGTGATGCGTACCGTGGACCCCAGCACTGCTTACAGCAATCACCCCTTAGAACGTGAGTTTCGGGAGGAGATCAAGGAGGCGCTTGGGCCTGACAGTGGGCTTGCTGGCGTGATTGCGTGCATCATAGGCTACCCGCTTAAGTTGCCACAGTCTATCTTCGAGGAGGTCCGTGATTGCAAGCCGCCAAGGAGGGCCTCGAAGCGCCTGCAGTTGGAGGTGGTTGCGGACTACGACATCTCGCCAGCCGTACGAGTCGTCGTCGATGGTAGCCAAAAGTCGGATGAGTTGGCGCGGACAGATCTGAAGCCCCTTATTGATGCACTGAAGAAGGCTGGGGCTGTCGAGACCGGTACCTCTCCGACTGAGGTGAGGCAATGTGCGCAAGTGCCGGCATGTCAAAGTAGCATGTGGGTGCGGTGAAAAGGGGAATGAAGGTGCGTCCTTAGGAGTGCCGCTGTGGGGTTGGCGGCTTCTGGATAGCCTCCAAGAGTGTCAACGATTCTATGTCACGCGCTTTCAAGCTGAGATTGCATTAGCATTCCGGTGCTTGCATTACCATGTGGTAGAAACTCTTTTTATGAACATCAGCATCATCCGTCCATTCCTTTCTATACAGGGATTGAGCAGCTCTACCCCCATGGACGTGAGCTGATTGCCGCAAGTGAGGAGTCCGGGCAGAGACCAAGCGCCTAGATAACTTAGGCAACATGAATCGAGACATTCTCTGAAATGCGCGTTCCATGGACCAAGAGATGCTAAAACCGATTCTCAATGATGGCCCCAGTCCTTGCAATCAGGACAAGACGTATGTACATCTGGTCATGCCAACGAGCCTTCATCTTGCATCCCTATGGAGCCCCGCATAGGTTTGGATTGGGGTGCATGAGTCTCATGAACCAATTTTGGCCTCTTTACTCTGGACAGAGGCCATGCATCTAGACAACATGCATGTGCTTGTAGCTGACTTTTGCAATCAATGATAACAAAGAATAGTGAGTAGGAAACATCTGACAGCAGTATGTGACTGGGTAAGGCACTAGGTACATCAGCAAGGAGCATCATGATTAAAGGGTATTTCGAGTAGGCTTAGCTACAACCGCTACTTCAAGTTGCAAACATTGCCTGTGTTGGAGCACATGGCACCGTTTTGCTCAACTCAACGGGGCTTATGCAACCCGAGCCTAATAGCGTGAAAAGGTTACCGCTTCGCTTTGCGCGTCATGATGGCCTTGCAAAATCGTCGCTGAACCATGCAGTAGTTGACGAGCTGTGATGCATGTATAGAACAGCCCAACAACGTGTAGTACTAAGCATCATTGCACGCTCATCAGATATATAAGTTGAGCTTTGCATGGTTCAGGACGCCAGTAAGCGCGCTTGCGAGAGTTACCGGAATGCTTAGCATCTTCACGATCGATACTGGTCTGAATCTGAGCCTTCACCGGTCACCGGAGCGCCTGCCCGGATATCGCCCTTTCGGCAAAGCATATGCGCCATGAGAGCCAGCACAGTCACCATACTCATCCGAGCCATTCCCGCTCACTCTGAGTCGGGCAGCTAGTTGCCAGCGATTCTGAGGTCAGTGGCGTATACTGCAATATCCTCAGCATTTTACATGGTATGGCCGGTAACAGGTCAGTTGGCGCGACCTTGCATTCCCACCCAACCCAGCCCGGTCAGTCTACCGGGCACCCAGGGGTCGGACCCTCGCGCATAGGCTATGTGCCATAAGGGCCGGGACCAGTCGTAAAGGCCCCGTTACCATCCAGACCGTGACCGTTCCCGCCGGGGTCCGACTGCACAGTCTGCATGGCCGAAGGTGCCACCTCTAGTCTCCAGCTCCCAGCATTCTGCAACTTGCCTTCAGAAAGCTGAGTAGGACAGCGACAGGTTGACCTTGCAAGTTGCATGGGCGGAGCTGCGAGCAGTGAACAAGCGCCGACCTAAGTTTTTTCAGGCATCGAGTGAGTGATTGTGCTGGCAGCTGTCCCCGGGCAAGGAGCTCATGCATTTCATACCGAGGAATTTCTTCAATTGTTTGTTATGTTAAATACTGTCCACTGCTGGCATTGCAAGAGGAAAGCATGAGTGGTGTGCAGGATAGGTGTTTGTTCAGCACACCTGTGGGACTGCAAGCTTTGAGACCAGGCATTCTGCTCCGCTTCTGCTTCAAGTTTGTAGGTTGTCCTAAAGCTGTGGGTCTGCTCTCAGCTGAAGCTGAGCTTCTGTTGCTGTGAATTGAGAGCGTGTTTGTAGCTGTGATTACTGGGCAGAGCTGGCGCTTGATAGATCATGGCGCGAAGCCGGCCTTGCGGTCGGTCTAAGTCTGATCACAGGGTCTGCCAGGCTGCTCGCTTTGCACGAGCTGCGGAGTATAGGAAGCGCGTCGAAATCAGTGCAGAAAGGCAAGCGTTTCTGATCGCTGCTGTCAATGCGCAGAGCGATGACATACCTGCCCCTGGCCGCCGGCGGTGCCAAAGGTCAGAGCGATTGAAGAATGAGGGGCAGCCTGCTCGTAAGGGTTTACTTGGCCGGCGCTTCACCGCTGCTGGCCAGAAAGCAAAGCGGCAGGATCCGCGAGTACTCAAAGATGTTTTAGATTGCGTCGCGGAACACGGTGAGCAGAAGGCAATTTGTTTGATTCTTCAAATGCCAACTCTTAAGGTCAGGGGATATTTGATTGCTGGCCCTGCAAGCAGGTGTATCAAGGCTTGTTCTAACTTCTTCGAGTAACAGTAGGACATCTAGAGATCTTTTGGTTTCAGGAAAGGTGTGTTGTTTAGAACTTCGGATTCACAGTGGGTCAGAGATTCCGCAATCAACGCCAACCAGAGAAACTTTGGTGGCATGGCTGGGCGTGTGTAGAGAAGTGTACCAAGTTCTGGCCAATTCTTTCTAAAGATAACAATAGGCCATTTCTTGGTACAGCGCCAGAAGTTGGTGGCATGGCTGGGTGTGCGTTGAACATGGTACTAGGTTTGAACCACTTATTCTAGAAGAGAACAATGGCGCCAAAAGCTTGAGGCAGGACTGGGCATGTGTAGGCAGCAGTATCAAGAGTTGACCAGTTAACAATGGATCATTTCTTGGTACCGCGCCAAGACTTGATGGCATGGCTGGGCGTGACTTGGGAATGTACCAGGTTTTGACCACTTATTTCCAAACATAACAGTGACACCAAGAGTTGATAGCATGCCAAGGCGTGCACACGGAAGTGAACCAAGTTCTGACCCGTTCTTTCTCGAGATGATTATGGGTCACTTCTTGCTACAGCTCCCAAAACTGATGGCATGGCTGGGAAGTGTACCAAGTTCCGGCCAATTCTTTCTTTAGATAACAATGGGCCGATTCTTGGTACAGCGCAAAAACTTGATGGCGTGCCCGGTTCTGCAGGCAGGTGTATGCGGTAGGAATAATAGCCCTGATTTTCTTTGCCTTCATCTCTTTTCCAGACCCACATGGCATCCATTGCTGCGAGTGCAATACGGCCGCAGAGTTTGGGCTTCGTGGGAGCAAGAACGGAGGGAACGTCAGATACTGTTGCGAGCGCCACGGCCCAACGGAGGGTTGTTTCCATATCGACAGGGATCGCACAGGTAAGAGGAGAGACACACACCTTGCTTGTGCGCAGAAAACCCGCCAAGTCAACCTTGATCGTGCAGGTCTTTGCATAGCTGCAGCCCGTGGCAGCCTCCCATTGAGCGTGCCATTTCATCATTGCAGCATGGGTTCAGGGCCGCGAGAAGACGCGACGGAAGGCAAACGCTGCCTGTCTGGAACGCGAGCAGCATCGGAAGGGATCTGGGTCACTTGCTGCTCTTTGGTCACGGCCAGCAACGGCAGGTGAGCGCCCAGAATTGTCAAAGGGACTGGATTCAAGATTGTGCAAGGCCGAAGGTCGCATTCTCGCTTGCGTGCCCAAGCTGCCGATTGAAGGTGATTGTCTTGGGTCACGCGACCAGATGAGTTCTGAGACTCTCTTGTTTGTGAGGTTGGGCAACTCATCTTGCGGGTTCGGCTGGCTTTAGAGCTCAGCAAGCACGTGTACCAAGAAACAACCTCTTACTTCCTAACAATTCTACTGGGCGTTTCCTGATTCATCTTGCTGTTCATGGCCGGGCCAGTGCATGCCCTTGATCTGCCGCACAGTTTCAACGACTTCTGCAGGGTGTTTGGCAGTCGATCGTGACATCTACTGGCGCATAACGTAGTGCTAACCCACTGTGCGCCTCCTCTTCAGGCTCATCATGTGCTGACCGTGACGCCCTTAGAACTCGCCATGCCGCCACAGCCAGCCGCGGGACGACCAGAGAAAACTCCGAGTTGGAGTGCAGTCTTGGCTCAAGCCGCCATCAGTACGCCGCCAGCTTGGTCACAAATGGGGCGCAGCGCGGGGAGCCTTCCGTCCGCTGCGCAGTACGGGAGGGACAGTGCGCGCTGTTGAGCAGGAGCGCCAGGTTTGAGGTGCAGTCGTCGGGGGAGCCCATCGCCACAAGCAGCTATCGTCCAGTGCTGCAAGGTACCAAAAAGTAAAGTCTTTCATTTCGAAAAACTTCAAGGGCGGTTTCTGGTACATCCTCAGGGGTATGGCAGGGCCCATCGAAGTGCACCCCATCAGCCTGTACCAGAAAGTAACGTCTTTCTTCTTAAGAATCTTAAGGGGGTTCTTTTGGACATTCTTGTGGGTTATGGCCGGGCTTGCTGGGCCCTTCAAGCACAGTCTCTTTGAGATTCAGGAATATACCAGAAAGTGGCGTCGTCTTCCTTAAGAATTCAAAGGGCGTTTCTTGGTACATCCTGCGGGGTATGGTCGGGGCGTATTGCAGGATATGGTCGGGCCTATCAAGTGCAGTGTCTCTTGAAGGGAGTGTACCAGAATTTGGCATCTTTCGCTTTGAGAATCTCATGGGCTTGATGTGTTACGTTCCGCCTGAGGCCTTCAATCAGGGATTCATGCAGCACGAGCAACCTTTCTAACGCACTGTGCACATTTCTTTCAGAGACTTCCTCGTGCGCCGGCCGCAACGCCCACGACACCCACGCCGGCAGGCCCTCCCCCACTGCCACAAACCCCCTTCGTGCAAACGTCAGCGACTCCTCAGAGCGGGAGCCCGACGCAGGCGGCCATGAATGCGCCGCCAGCTGCGTGAGCGACGGCAGCGCTCGCAGCCTCCTGTGCACCACCCGTACTGGGAGGGCCTTCTTTCGATGTCAGATGGGAGCGCTAGGCCTGGGATTTTGCAGAGGCTGCCCACTGCCACAGACAGCCCTCACCCTGTGCTGGTCACCAGGACGATCAGGAGCCGATTGCAAGGTGAGAGACAAGTCTCGTACAGTTGCTGCAGTGTCTTCTCTCGGCACACCAACAGCACTAAGCATCAACCTTTACGGCTTTGGTAGTCACGATTCTTGGCACAACCCAGACAATTCGTGGGCAGGATGTGGCGTCTTTCTTCTTGACAACCCTTCGGGTGGTTCCTACTAACGTTCTTTAAGGTATGGCAGGGCCCATCAGCGTGTACCAGAAAGTAATGTCTTTCTTTCTAAGAACCTTAATGGGCGTTTTTTGGTGCATCTTGGGTGGTATGGCCGGGCTTGCACCATCAGCCTGTACCACGAAACGATGTGTTACTTCTGAAGAATTCTCCTGGGCGTCTCCTGGTACACAAATCTTTCCGGGTATGGCCGGGCAAAGTGCATGCCCTTGATCAGTCACACAAATCCGAGGACTATCGGAAGGTATCGAGTGTGACATCCCGAGTGCAGCACTTCTGACCCATTGAGCGCCTTCATTTCAGAGTCCTCGCGCGCTGACCGCGACGCCTACAACAGCCCCCGCACAATCGGCCCCAGTGCCATCGCCGGCGGCCCCAAGTCGGACTGCGGTCTTGGCCCAGCCCGCCATCAGCACGCCGGCAGCAACGAGGCGCAGCCCGGGCAGCCTTCCGTCCACCGCGCAGAGGGACCATCATGCGGGGGCGCCAGGTTTGGGGTTCAGCGCACTGCCACGAAGAGCGTCCTGATGAGGAGCGCAGTCCAAGGTGAGCGACAACTTCTCCTTTCACCACCGTATCCATGCCTGTCATTCCATGATAGAGTCAAGCGGTGCTGGGAAGTGGCACGTCTTTCCTCTTGGTCATCAAAAGCCGGGACAGATGCTTGGCGTTTTCTGTTAAATCTTGGCAAGTACGGACGGGGCCCCTCAAAAACGGTGTGAGGCTTTGCAGATTGCGGGGGTGTGTACCAAGAAAGGCTGTATTACTTCTTAAGAATCAATTGGGCGTTTTCCGGTACATCCTGCGGGGTATGGTTGGGGCCCCTCAAAGATCATGCGGGGTATGGTCGGCCCCTAAAACGGTGTGAGGGTTTGCAACGTGAAGGGGCCGTGTACCAGGAAACATTGTATTACTTTCTTAAGAATCTAATGACCGTTTTCTGGTACATCCTGCAGGGTATGGCCGGCCTTGCCCATCAAGCGCACGATCCGACCATCCAGCACACAATCATCGTGTACCAGAAAACGCTGTATTACTTTCTTAAGAACCTAACGGGCGGTTTCTGGTACATCCTGCAGGGTATGGCCGGGCACCCCCGAAAATGGTGTGAGGTTTTGCAGCGTATGGAGGCGTGTACCAAGAAACGCTGTGTTACTTCCTTAAGAATCTAATGGGCGAATCCTGGTACATTCTGGGGGGTGTGGCCGGGCTCGCAGCACCATGAGCAATGTTGCACAAAGTGGCGTCTTTGCCGGGCATGAGCCGGACAGCTTGCATGCTCTTGATCTTTGGGGCGGATTTTGAGATTCACGAGCCGCCGTGCTGATCCATTGCGCAGGATCACAAGGCACTGGCGTCCACGACGCGCGCCATGCAGACAAGCCTTCCGCCGCTGCCGCGACTCGCCCCACTTTCGACCCCTCAGAGCACGAGCGCGTTGCCGCCAGCTTGAGCAACGACGAGGCGCGGTGTGCGCAGCGCCCCGCACGTGAGGGCCGTTGCGCGCCGTCAGACAACCTCCGACCGGGGCGGTTTCCTGCCACGAGCAGCCGTCGTACGGCGCTCAGCAAATCGCAAGGTGAGCGTGTAGCAATCCCTTGCGCTGCACTAAGTTGCTCAGGCATCGGTTCACTGATGGCACGAAGCATGGGACTCAACCTCTGTCACTTGCTGGCATGCATCGGGTGCGTTGTCAGTATGCACCAGGAGGTGGCGTATTTCTCTTTGAAGATTTAAATGAGGCTCTTTCCTGGTACATCCTTGGAAGTGTGGGCGGAATAGCGCGCCGGGAGGTGGCGTGTTTCTCTTTGAAGAATCTAATTGCCCTTTCCTGGTACATCCTCAAGTGTACGGCCGGGCTGCCGGCGGTGTCCCGAGCCACTTGGGCACACTCATGCGCTCCAGAATTGAAGGCAATTGTTCCGAGTCACGCAATATCAGGAGGGGTTCCAAGCGGCGCCCCAAAAGTAGTATACAAAGGAAAGCGTTCTGTGGTGCGTCAGTTCTGCTTCTCATCAGGAACGTGTACCAAGAAAGAACCTAATACTTCTTTACAAATGGGCGTTTTCTTGGTACACCTTGCTGGGTATGGTCGGGGCAAAGTTCATGCCCTTGATCCGCACGAATCCGAGGACTTCCGCACGGATTTAACTGTCAATCGTGACGTTCACAAGTGCAGCAGTGCTGACCGACTGTGCGCCTCCTTTTTTCAGGATCAACGTGCACTGACCGCGACGCCCACAACATGCGCCACGCCGCCGGCAGCCCCTCCACAACCGCCACAGCCAGCCCCCGTGCGTCCGGTGACAACTCCGAGTCGGAGTGCTGTCTTCGCGCGGGCCGCCATCAGAGTGCCGCCAGCTTGGTCACCGACGGGGCGCAGCGCTGGCAGCGCGCTGAACGGGAGGGACAGTGCGTGCTGTCGAGCCGGAGCGCCAGGGTTGGGGCTCAGTCGTCGAGGCAGCCCACTGCCACAAGCAGCCATCATCCGTTGTTGGTGAGGAGCGGACTGCAAGGTGAGCCTTCTCCACGATCCCCGGCCGTCTGGTTGCGGCAAAGTCCTCTTCTCGATCAGTTGAGAGTTCTTGGCTCAACCTAGGGGAGTATCATGGGAAGTGGGATCGTTCTTCTCAACAACGTGGCGCTCGTGAAGAACCTTACGGGCGTTTCTCCTGTACATACTACAATTTTCCTGGTCTGGCGGGGCTGCCCATCAAGCACACAGTCTGGTGGTACTTGGTGGTACTTAGAAAGGCCGTATTCCTTTAAAAATCTAATGGGTGTTTCTTGGTACACGAACCTTGCGGGGTATGGCCGGCCCCTTGAACGGTGTGTGGCTGTTTCAGCACACAGAGAGAGAAGTTTCATGTACCAAGAAACGCTGTGTTATTGTTTAAGAATCTATTGGGCGTTTCCTGGTACATCCTGAGGGGTATGGCCGGGTTCATTTCGGGGGGTATGGCCGGGTGCATTTCGGGGGGCATGGCCGGGCTGGCCCGTCAAGCGCAGGGTACGACCATCCGGCGCACAATGAGAGTGTACCAAGAAATGCTGTATTACTTTCTTTAGAATCTAATGGGCCTTTTCTGGTACATCCTGCAGGGCATGGCCGGCCTTGCCCATCAAGCGCATGACCCGACCATCCGGCGCACAGTTGACGCGTACCAAGAAACACTGTGTTACTTTCTTAAGAATCTAAGGGGCCTTTCTTGGTACATCCTGCAGGGTGTGGCCGGACATCCCAGCACAGTCAGAGTGTACCAAGAAGAGGCGTATGACTTTCTTAAGAATCTAAGGGGCCTTTCTTGGTGCATCCTGCAGGGTATGGCCGGCCTTGCCCATCAAGCGCATGACCCGACCATCCGGCGCACAGTCGGCGCGTACCAAGAAACACTGTGTTACTTTCTTAAGAATCTAAGGGGCCTTTCTTGGTACATCCTGCAGGGTATGGCCGGACCCTTCAAAACGGTGTGAGCCTTTGCCGCGCTGCGAGCGTTTCTTTGTAAGATCCCGCATGTCTGCAGGACCGTTGAAATTGTGGCAGGTCTCTCAACTCTTACCTGCCAACCTTCTGCTCGCGCAGGATTTCCAGCCTACGGATGCGGGTCGGACAAGGTCTTCTACTCTTCGGCACCAAAGAGCAGGGCACTGATAGGTATGGTGGCAGATCTCTGGCATTCTTTGGCAAGAAGAGGCTTCAATTGGCTTTGCCGACAGGACAGCGAATGCATGGGTCTGACTTGAAGGCTTGCCATTCTGAGCACGATTAGACTTTGAATGCGTGAGTCTGGCTTGAAGGGCATGCCATTTTTGAGCACGATTGGTTAACGGATTCGTTTGGTGCGATGCAGCGACGCAACTGATGATCGGGGGCGTGGAGAGCAACCCGGGGTGGCCCACACACGATCCCGACGCCCCGAGCAGCTCATGCGGGCGGCCCCTTATTCACCTCCCGACCACGGAGGTAAGTTATTTGCCAGGCAAAGATACTTTCTGCCTCATGCCTCCATCCAAGGATCACACGAAGTACCGCAAGGCTACAACTTGTGCCACTTGCCATAATCACCATGCCCCTTCTCACCGGCATCCACAGAGCGTCGATATAGACCGGGTGATTCATGTATGACGTATTCATGTCATGCAGGAGGTTCAGAAGAGCGTCAGGTCAAAGCCAGTCAGCACCGAGCCGTTCGATGCGTGGCGAGCAAGCGTGAGTTTCAGTTGCTGTCGCGGTCCGACGTGTGTGAGATGCTGTCATTGAGCACGCTCATTCGTTTGCAGCCATGCATTTTCAGAGCTGGCATATGGGAAGAGTCAATGCACTGGGTGTTGACTCGTGCATTCCTTGCTCATTCAGCAATTGAACCCAAACTGGGTGGCAGAGGTGATGGCCCGATCCCCAGTTCAACCTGCTCAACCCCAGTTGAAGGACCCGCCGACAGCGCCAAGCGTCAGTAGAGAGGTCAGTGCCCAGATCAACAATCCTCAACTGCGGCACGGCAGATGCGCTTGGAAAGCTTGCATTTGAACTCCTCAAATCTGCCCACTTTACTGCTCATAAACTCGTCGAAGAATTCAATAACATCGTCGCTCGACCAGGCCTCGAACCCCCCCGCTTGCATGAACCATCGAAACAGCCACGGCCAGGATAGATCCCTTGGGTCGTTGCATGTGCCCCTCTTGTAGAGGCGTGTGATTGCACATGCGGCTGCATCCTGGAAGCTCGCTGCTGCC